TAACCTAAGCCCCGAAGCGCGAGCGGGATGGTCACCTCACGCTTCATTACTGATGGAGTGCTTTTTTCTTTGTTTACCGTCTCCCCCGTTTATTTTTAATTTTTCCCCCAATTCATGGCAATTATTAGAACATTTATTCTGCGGCGTAATAATTGGCGCCGCTCCATGCTGTCGCGCGAGCTTTACATGAGCTCACCCGGTACCTGTTGATTGATGATGATGCCGCGTTCGTGTATACAGCGTCGTAATTTTTCAGAGAGTTACACGGTTTTCTTAAGAGAAAAGGGCTTCTTTCCCCCGGATAAAAGGCAACGCGGGCACGGACGAAGATCATGAGATTGGCCATTGGTCAATGAGTGACCTGCGACGGCCACCAATCACCGTCACCTCTCACCGGTAGCCGCGCGTCAAAGGGATTTAAATAAAAATATTGGCGGCCGGCCAGCCCGAGTTGGGTTCGGCTGTCTCCACACATGCATGCGCAGCCGATCGAAAAATTATCTCAGCAATGTGGTTTAATCACGTTAGCGTTGCCGTTGCGTAATAGATCACAAGGCAGGGTCTCCACTATTATGTGTTCTCTCATCAAAGTGTCAATTAGAAAGCTCACGCACTAAAAATGAGCATCTACAAGGCGGGGTATTTACGTCTTTTCTGTCTTTAAATTGAAATATCCCGCTCGGCAGGAAACCCGAATCTACTCGATCAAAAAGTGGATTGGATGTATTTATGCTAAAAGGAACTATGCACTGAAAAAAAAAATCTCGGTTTACTTACTAAGAAAAGGGTAAAATTACCAAGAATTCAGGGTTCTATTTGATCCCAGTTTTTTCTTGGTAAAATTACCATTTATGGAATTGGTAATTTTACCAATAGAATAGATTCACCGAGGGAAAAGCGGTGTTTTTGGGAGAGAAGAACATAGAGTACAATAGAGTCGCGATGTACTGGAGCGCCGATGAAGACAATCCATGAACGGGCCATTCTGAGCCCCTTGTTCGTCGGAAAGTGGGAATGGGGACCGTTCGGCTTTTTTTAACACGGCGGCTTATGGGAGAATCGCGGGCTGCGAATGGTTTTCGGGATTTATTCATTTAAATCAATCATTATTTACGCGAATTTTGGCGAATTGTGTTCACTCAAGTCTTAACAAATTAAAAAATGTACAACATTCCCGGTTTTTATGAAATTAATTTTATACCTGTATTTTCTGAACGAAAAGCGAAGGTGGGACCCCGCGCGTACGGCACGCGGCATCGCTAGTCGCCGCACACTGATCTCAGGAGTACTGGACATAACAGCCTCAAAAAGTGACTTCATCGGCGCTCCAGAACATCGCGACTCTATTGTACTCTACGGAGAAGAAATGCCTCTTTTAAAATTCAGCCTTCGCCAAATCAAACAAGTTAACGAGGATTGTTAAAGACCGGAAATCTCCAGAAATTTAATTTGACCGGGGAAAAATAAGAAGAAGAAATAGAGAATTCGGGGAAACCCCCCTGGTAAAAATTGGCAGTAGAATGTGTGTTCCAAAATACTATAGACCTAAAGCCGGCTGTAAGATTTCCAATAGCTTCTGTAGCCGGCTGTACAATTTCTTATAGCCTTTTACAGCCGATGGCGATTAAGCAACAGCCAGCCAATAAAGTTTATGCTAAACATTACTAAATACGGATACTAGGACTTGGTTGTTTTTGGACTACTGCTCTCTTTCTGTGCCGTAGTATCTTGATTTATTCTGCGAGGAGAGCTCCGTACTTTTGAAGGATGCCTGTCATTCTTCATATGTTGGAGCGCCTTCAATTTCTTATGATACTGTGCAATACCTCTGGTGTGAAATAGTTGCTTCAGACGCCGTGGCACGCTGCGGCGCGGCGGGCGGGCAGAGAGTGCGAAACGCGCATTGGCGCCTACAAACCTAACAGGGATACCTCACGCATTGCGCAATGCGTGAAGTATCCCTGTTAGGTTTTTAGGCACCAGTGCGTCGCCGCGCGCCGCTCCGCTTTGTGTTAGGCTCTAATATTTAATCTCGCGGAGTCAGCGTTTTTCAACTCATGATTTTGAAATGTTTGCACACTCTATGGACTATTCTCATTTTAATTGATGAAAAAAAATAAGTTTTAAAGGAAAATATAATGTGTGTTTTGTAAATATTAAGGTAGTTCCGCATCAAACTTAATGATTTCTAAAGCACGCGATTTTCTACACAATTTCTTATAGCCTTTTATAGCCAATGGCGATAAAGTGTAAAGCCCGGCGATAGGAACTATAGCCCGACTGCATACTTTTTTATAGCTTCGTACAGCCCGGCTGTATGATTTGCTCCGCTTTCTACAGCCAGCTATATGATTTTCAATAGCCTTCTTTAGTCGGCTATAAGAACTCCTATGGTATTTTGAAACGCAGCTCCTATCGCCAATTTTTACCAGGGCCCGAAAAATACAGAGAATTTCAGCACTTTTCAGTAGCGGTGGTTAACATTTTAAGTTGTAACCGCCGGAATGATTGTACCGCTAAATTCTCCCCTTTCTTTCCCTTACAAAAGCAGCTAGTATTACAGAGAATTCGGAACCTTGAAAACACGGTGAGCCCTAAATTAATCCACCAGAATTGCTCGTAAAATATTCATCGAGCCCTCGACGGAATCCAATCACGAAAAGTTGGTTTACATTTTCGTCACTCCACAAGAATGCGTGAGAGTCGACCCGGAGAAAAGTCATTTGTTTGATTTCCAGTGGAAAGCGGGTGACACCGCTTCGATCGTCGGATGGGAAATGAAAATTGATGTATAATTCTCCTGGCGTCCTGTTTGAAAACGATTGGTAACTTGTTGGACGGCTGGTGGTCTTTTTATCCCATCGATCCCTTTGCTCTCGTTTCCATCCCCGGGGACTGCGTCGCCTTTTCACTCATTTATTATGAGAGTCATCGCTTCGGAACGCCTTGTTTCCCTACGGGTCTGAAGAGTTCTCCAACACCGCGATCGCCGTCATCAAGCGTTTTTGTCCCACCGCCGAATGGACCACTAGACAAGGTACGAATTTCAGCATTCTGATACATGTTTCTTTATCAAAATTGCACGTAAAACACGATACGCACAACGAAAATTACCGAAATCAACTCCTGACGAAGATATTTAATGATTTTTGATGCGTGAATTCAAACCACCCGCTCATGAAAACGCAATGCTCTACGTGATTCACATCGCGCGCTAAATGTTTATCATGACAGTCTCTGCGATGTAAAAATCCTCAACTTCAATCTTGACACTTTGGCTCAGCTATAGCAAATTATCAATAGTTCGAACAACACATGGTGGAAAATGAACATTGCTCGATTTAGAAGCTTGCTGAAACCGTTGTAGTGCGCGATTTGACTCACGTAGAGCTTTGAGTTTCTTGTGAGCGGGCAGTTCAAATTCCTCGTAACCAATGTGAAATAAAAACGTTAATATCTTCGTTAGGAGTTGATTTCGGTTATTTTCGTAGTGTGAATCGGGTTCTACGTGAAATTCTGGTTAAGAAACATGTATCAGAATGCTTAAATTCGTACCTTGTCTAGTGGTCCATTCCCGATCTACCCCATGGACAAAATAAATTATTTTATGGGGGAAATAACTGATCTCACCGCGAATTCAGGGCTGCCGGCGGTCGCGAAAATCGAAAAGTCGGGGAAAGTCAAGGAAATTGCGACGACCGGGGAAAGTCAGATATTTCGTAGGAAAATTCAGAGAATTCGTGAGAGAAGTTAGAGAATTCGTGGGAAAAGTCAGAGAATTCGTGGGAAAAGTCACAGAACTCGTGGGAAGAGTCAGAGAATGTATGACCTGCCTATGTCTGGATGTTTTCCTTCCCCCAAATTTTTGCATTTATCGCTCATCATAGAGCAGGGCCGGATTTACCTATTTGCCGCCCGTGGGCCGCCTGTATTTTGCCGCCCACTTCTCAATCGTTTTGAAACATCAATAAAAACCATCAAGTGAACGTGCCGGAGGGAGAGAGGCTTATAAGACTCGTATACTCGTGTTGGTCACATTTTTTGCGAAAGCCCTGTCACCACTATTAGCAAAAGTTCACGGAACTTGGCGCGAAAGTCAAGTTCCGTAAACCTATCTCTGTATGGACAAGGCCCTCCATTTATAAAAAAATGAACCAAAAAATTATGAAAGAACAAACATAAATGTGGTTTAGTAATTTTAACTGCCGCCGCCGCGCCGCGCTAACCGCACTGTGTTTGGCGCAATGCGTGAAGTATTTCTACAGTCTTACAATTCTTACATGCGCTATGCGTTTCAGGCCGACCGCTGGTGCACGCACTGTGTTTGACGCAATGCGTGAAGTATTCATGCAGTCTTGTAGGCGCTATGCGTTTCACGCTACCTGCTGCTGACCGCAGCGACCGCACTGTCTTTGACGCAATGCGTGAAGTATTCATGTAGTCTTGTAGGCGCTATTATTTGTTACATGCCAACCGCCGCGCCGAGGGTTTCTCCTTTTCATCTCACGTTCTCGTCATCATTGCTCTCTGCGCCGCGCCGTTCCAGGCCAAAGTCCGTGTTCGGTTTCTCTCTTACAATTAGTCTTAACTCGACTAATTAAAGGTGCTGTCTATTGTATCGCAGAAGGACGACAAAATTAGATATATACTCTCAAGAAATGAGAGATTTTGTCACCTTTTCTCATTCGTATCTTTTTTTTCTGAATCCGATGTTTCTCTACAGCTACATTTAAAGAAATTGAAAAATTTGCCGCCCCCTAAATTTGCCGCCATGGGCCGCGGCCCATGTGACCACCCCCTTTATCCGGCCCTGCATTTATTGCTCATCATAGAGACTTGAATAGATAAATGAAACCAGCGCCGAAATCGTCATGGATGGATGCAGCCGAGCGCCCATATTAATGTTAATTTTTTACATTTTATTGGTTTTTTTCTTCTTCCTATTCTTCTCTTTTGGGCTCTTTTATTAAACATTCTTGTGCTTTTTTTTTTCTTTCCAGCATACAAGTTTCAAGAAAATTTGCTGAGATGTATGGTACAAATAGAAAACACATTTTTCGAATTGGGCGAATCTTGTCCGAGGGACTGTTTAATCATTTGCGACCGTGGCACCATGGATGCTTCTGCATGTAAGTCATCTTTTTCATGATTTAATCGTCATGTAGGAGAAACTTCAAAGTTAATGTAAGTTACATAAATTAGCCAAATGCCCCTCGAATTAAGCTAAGCTTGTCCTTTGATTATCAGTCAAATCAGATCAAGCTCTTAATGTTTATCAGTGGCGTGGCTTAAATTGCGATTTATCGATTGTTATGCCATTTAAACCTATGGTAAAGAATCGATTATTAATTATAGATCCTTTTCCATGGGTTTAAATGGCGTAACAATCGACTTATCGCAAAGCACGCCACGCCACTGATGTTTATGTATAAGTGTATTACTACATGTAGTAGGGTAAAAAAGGAACGATCAGTATGTGCCAATTTCATGCGCAAAATTGCTTCCTCCTCCTCATCCTCGACATTTCTTATCGATTCTGATTGGACTTGCAGCAAGAATAAGAAATATATCTTGAGCTTCAAAAAAATGTGTCCTTCGGGATGAGACATTCTTTCAGTATTTTCGCCACCTCAAGAGCTCTGCTGCAGCTGAAAGCAACAGCTCTGGTCTTGCAGATCTCGGTTTTTGAAATTAGGATGAAAAGTTCTGTCGATTTCCAAAAATTCGTCTATTTTGAAGTGGGACACCAAAATGACGCCCATTTTTTGGTCTATACTTAATGAGCAAGGTATCATATGGGTATCTTTACCAAAGCTTTTCGGCTTACGCCATCATTAAGGCAAAATTTTCACATCAACTCTTACACATTTCAAATTAACATCAGTATTTTATGATGGCATCAATGTTAAATACTCGTGTGAATATGAATGTGGTTCTGTCATAATTTTGCTCTGATTCTGGCATAAGCTGAAAAGTTTCAGTGAAGATACTCATACTCTATACCGATATATATTTGCGATACGTAATGATGATGACGACATTATATGATAAAAGAAGAAAGTAAGGTACATCTGCAAAGAAAAAAAGAAAGGTTTTAGGGCATTAAATTGTACTGTTCGAGGGCAAAACCAGCTAACAAGAAACGAGTCCACCCTAGTGACTCATAGCAACTCTCTTAGATGTTGGACCGGAAAAACCCTTGGAGAATCGAAGCAGCAAAATCTAAGGAGAAATATTCCCTCCAGACTCATTTCTGATAGTTTCAAGTATACTTACTGAGAGTGTAATTGAAATGAATATGTCTACAACCATTTATAAATGTCTTACTAGCTTTGTTTTCTCCCCCCTCTTGTTTTAGTTGTATCAAAGGAACAATGGGAACAAATGCTCTTGTCTAATAGCTGGAATCCAGTAGAATTAAGAGATAATCGATATAATCAAATTATTCACATGGTGTCTGCAGCTAATGGAGCAGAAGATTTTTATTCAACAGAGGTAAGTTACCCCCTGGTTCTGAGAATAAAACCCTGAAGGAAACACCAAAGATCCAACTTCGAATGAAAATTTTCTGTAAAATTCTAATCCTCAGCACCAACTTTCTCCTGCATATAATCTATTTCTTCGTCTGTTCTTTTAAAAAGGTCAATTGGTTTAATGAATATATCTCTACGTATTCAGGGCTTGTGACACCGTGAATAGTGCTTAAATGGATTGCATTTTGCAATAAGGAACCACTATTTCTGGTTCTCCCATGAAAACACATATTTGCATAGGGAAATTAATGGCATGTATGTTGTTTCTATAATGGGCTAGAAATAGTGATTCCTCATTGCAAAATGTGGTCCAAATGTAAGTGAATGTTCTCTCTAAATTTTCAAGTTCTTTGATTGCTATCAAGCTCATCAAAATGACAAATAACATCATTCTCATGTCATATGTTTGCCTGTTTATATAAAGTGCAGGTATTATAAAGTGTAGAAACTTTCATTTTTCTCATTGGAACAGTCTTAAAGCTCCTGATTTTTGTTTTGAACAACAGTCATGAGCTTTGGTACATATTTATTTTCCAAAATAAGACCCTGATAGTGTGTCATAAGTCTTTTTCTATGGTCCTTTTGTTGAAAATCAAACGAAAGCTGGTAGGTTCACAGATAATCATCTACGCTTCTCTTACTTATTACCATAATTTTATCCAAAGGGGAGGGAAAAAAGTTCAAGAAAAAAGATAGGAGATGCAACATTATCTATCTTTCATTGTGAAATTTTGGAACCAGTATATTCTAAAAATATTCGAGAAAATTGGTTTTCATTTACTATCTCTAGACCAGATTTTTTGTGTCACCTTTTTTTAGGATCATGCTTGTCGCAGTGAGGGTGTTGATATCGCTCGGCAATTAGATCATAGCGCAGCTTCAGCATGGGTTGGTCATCCGTACTTTGATGTCATCGACAATTCCACGGACTTTGAAAACAAAATCTGTAGAATGATAGCTGTAAGTAATGAAAAAAAAAAAAAAATACGGATTTACAATCATGTACCATCTATGCTTCTCCAGAATTTTTATTTTTCATAATGTTGTCTGTTATGTAACATACTTGAACTTTCATTTTATCTTTTTAGGCAAAGCTAGAGTACCAGAGCGTACAAACATGTCATTAATTTTAAGAAAAAATAAAAAAAGAAGCAAAAATAATTTCTTTTTGAGAAGATTTTTTTTTTTTCAGAATTTTTTGATAGAGCTCTTAGGGTCCTAAAGGGCATCATTCAGAGTGGTTTATCATTACAATTGATACGATCTATCGTTGGTAAAACACGCATTTGACTTAGTTTTTGCCTAAATTTACTAATTTTTGCGGACCATCGCTCATTTATGAACATTCTTGGCCATTTTGGTTTGATATTGGAGTCTGAAGATTGGCAGTCACATTTTTCGTTTTAAAGGTTGGCTGGCCTTTTGAGACCTAGGAACTCCATATTTCTCTTGTATTCTTCCTATATAGGCTCTCTAGAAAGCCTCAAAGCCAGAGGGATTAAATTTGACAAAGTAAATTAAAAGGCAAAGACTCTTTTTATTAATGGCTAATTTATGAAGATGTTGATGTGGAACCCTTCCTCAAAGCAATGAGGAATTGAATTTTATGTCCTTTCTTGCAGTTTTGCATAATTTATATTTTCTATCAATTATCGCAGCAATTTTTCAGTGCTGAGCATCAAACTAATTTTTTTTCTCTCTATCGTTATGTATCTTTAATTTCTTCTGTATTCAAGTCTCTGGCTCATGCTACCATATTTTCATGAGTCTTGATTTGCTCAGTTTTTTCATCAACTTAACTTTAACAGTTACGAAGGTGTCTACAAGTCTGGAATTTCCGGGAAGGACGGAAATAGTACGGATTTTTTAAGGGCGGTCCGGCAGTACTGAAAAAGTGTAGAAATTCTGCAAGAAGGTCCAGAATTTTTGTCATTTTCGTAGCAATTTAAGTGAGAAATTCAAATATTTGAAGTTTTTTTAATTTCGTCAATTGGAGGTACCAAATTTCTTTAGAATGTACTGAAAAAGTACCGTTAAAGTACTGATTTTTAGCCAGCGTGTTTTAGTAGACACCCTTGTCACTGTTTTCATGATAAAAATTAGTGCACGAATTCTTCCAGTTCTACTTTAATATTTATTCCCTCTTCCTTTCAGAGTGTTTGTCAAAAACTGGGTATTGATACTGGTGACCGCTTACTGGTTAATGCACGGAAACGCAAATTTTTAGTCAAAGGACCACTTCCAGATGACGCTTGCTTTCCTCAATTTCAAGATTTTGATGTTGAGCATTATTATCTCCAGACAAATAATATCCAACAAGCTCGTTTAAGAAAACGAGGGCAAAAAGGTAATGATGAAAGTTATAGGTTTTAGTCTTGATAAATTTTGTTATGCATCCAAAAACCAACCGTAATTGGGCCGCGTTAAACAGAAGGGAACCAAGCCACCTCAGCTATTGCCAAATTTAATCGGGCAATTTAATTTTTTACATGAAAACAGTTGTGCGGATTTTTGTGCAAATTTCTATGAATTTTCTCCATAATACAAAGCAAATTCCTTAAAATTTTCGAAGGAATCCGCACAAACGTTCTCTCGTAAAAAATCAAATACCCCTGTTAAATTTGGGAATAGCTGATGTGGCTTGGTTCCTTTCTGTTTAACGTGGTCCAATTTAACAGCAGATCATTAAATACATTACTTTAAACTTGGGAGACGAAAAGTCTTTGTCCCACGAAAGGGAAAAAATGTGTGCTCCTTGGCAAGAGGAAATCACAGAATGAGGTGAAGTGGATGCCACTACGCAGGGAGAAATGTCAACACTAAAGTTTGGTTAATACAGGAAGTAAAACACAAAATAACCCTTGCCTTCAGTTGACAACTTCAAGAGAAAATGTCAGCTAGCTTTCATGAAGAAATTTAATAAAAAACGAGTGGTGAATACAAATGTTGCTATTGGAGGAATGCATTTTTCCAGTCTCTTTATTGTTTCCTGCACTAAATTCACTGCAAACTTTACCAAAATCAACACAAAATTTGTGTTGGTCTGTGTTTCACTATCTATATTAACCAAAAGTAACACAAGAACATAAATATTTTTATCAGTGTATGAGGCCCCCTGTGTCGATCTTCGTTGTGAAGAGGTAATGGTAGCTGCACAATCAAATGAAAGACAACAGACTTATTTTTTATTCTCCTCAATAGTTTGAGCAAGTTGACGATGCTAATTATCCATAAACTGCATTGCACCTGCTTTTCCCACTTAATAATGCTCATTACACTGCCATAAAATGCATTTTTCAGACCCGATTCTATCGAAATTGGTTCATAGAAAGTTCGATTCGAGCAGCTTGAATTGCTTAAGAAGTCATAAACATCACCTTATTAAATACTCTCAAAATTAAGCCAGCGCCGAATTTCTCAGGATTCCAAGCGGTGTCCTCTCATAAATTTCAAGTAAGAAAAAAGTAATGTAATCAATGAGAAAACTAAAAATAATGATGTCTGAAAAAACTAAAGAAGAGACTAACCAGTTCAACGGTGGCTTGCAAAACACTCCCTAAAGTGGGTGATTTGGAAGTGTTATGAAGGTGCCCTGAACCGTTAGTATTGTTTATTCATTTGATTAATTTTAAATCCCTAACAATGCCTGCCCAGTTATAAGTTTATATTTTTCGTTTGTCTTTTTCAGGTCACTGGACTTACACGCATACAATACGAAGGCCAAAAGTTCATGGCCAGGTTGTAGAAGTCAAAACTCAATTGACACATCGTGATTATATTAACATGTTAGCGCAAAGAGATGATTCTCACTTTACAATTTACAAAAAACGGAGGTGCTTTATTCATAATAACCAGTATTTTCAACTCGATATTTATCGGGAACCGTGCCATTCCAGGTACCCACTATTAAATCAATATTTATATCTTCTCTTTAATCTGTTGGTTTCTCTATATTATATAGTGCTGGACGCTATTTTCTGACACAATTTCACTATTTCAACCATTTTAAGCATATGAAGCATGTCATGGTACTAGAATTGTCCCTGGAAAGTTCATCATTGACGCCTGCTTTTGCTCTGACAATTCATGTCTTCATATTTTCTGTACGGCAATGCAAATATTAATCAGATTTATTTTGGCAATAAGCTCACTGACTAGGTCCTCCCGTCAAAATTTTCAGAGCTCAACTGTTCTTCAAGAATTGAGTATATTGATTGTGTAAGCTCGTTGTGGCTTTGCCTGTCAGTGTCAAAAAATACACACATCGAATCCTTAGGAAATCGCCTGAATTACAAGGTTTCAAATAATCTAATTGTTCGATATTTGGCATTTCATTTTTCAATTGATTTTTAATAATCAAAATTAAATTTTGAAGTATTTTCTCCCATCTAAAGTATTATGACTAGTTCGCCTAAAAATCAACAAAAAGACTTTTTTATTTATCTGATACTGGTGAATGTGCTCTTAATGCGCCCGTATGATGTCATCAATTGCTTCAAATGATCGTGTTTTTCTACTTATTCTATCACTTTGTTTACAACTTCAGTCCATTTCCCTCTGTGAATTTTCTCAATTTTCCTGTTCAGTCTCGGAACAAGCTCTGAAATTTTGTGTGATGGTGCTACCCAGCTGATATTTATTCAATTTGTAGTTTTCTCTCATGTCAATTGAATCGGGAAGTGCGAAAACCTCAAATGTCCATTTTTCCAGTCTTCAGTTTTTTTGAGTTGATAATACTTTTGAAGAGTTGATACAATCATAAAAGTGATGAAAGGACTCGTTTTGGGATGAAGATAACCCAGAGACAAGTATTAACGCCACTTTTGTGGTTGCGTCCAACTCTGAAAAGTATTATCAACTCAAAAAAACTGAAGACTGGAAAAATGGACATTAGCGGTTTTCGTACGTCCCGATTCAATTGACCCATTGTTCCATAAAAGAGACTGTGACTTCATGGTGAAGTGGACTAATACTTCAACACTTATGAACTTTCCTCTCAGAAGCTCGAGCAACATGCAATAACTCACTTTGATACTAAGAATTGAAGTTAATACTACCCTTTTTTTCAGATGTTGTGGTTTAATCCTATTGGAAACTTATTCAGCTCTAGAACATGATCAGCTTTTAGAACGATTACCCAAATTTTTAACAATAGTGGAAGAAGTCACCGGAAATCCTGCATATTCGATGTTCAATCTATCCCTGCGTGAAGATTGGACCAATTCAACGAAATTTTGCAAAGCATTTCAAGGTAAATATCTGATTTGATATCCTCTTCCCTAGTCTATGAACACTCTTTCATGTCTCTTTAAAATCTTGAAGTATTATTTTCAATTACCAAAAAACTACATTTGTGTAAATGTTGATTTCTGCTGTGCTAATCTACCTATCTCTTTTCATGTAATTTCGATCTAGTCTCTCTTTTTCCTGTGTTCTTTCATTACAATAATCGCAACGCACTTCCATCTTTTTATTTTTAATTTTTTTTACCACCTCTGATACAACCATTTGTATTGTGCAATCTGAGCATGTCATAAATCACTCAGTTCATGTGTTTCTTTTCTCTCTTTCTAATATTTTTCTTCTCTTATTTTTTTAACTGATCTTTGAATGTTTTTACTCTCCTCTATGCGTACTTTTTATGAAATCTTCGTAGAAATTTGTATTCTCTTTTATGTTTGCAACTATCAGAGTATAAATTTTGCAGATTTGATTCGGATTCAACTGTCATCTACTATCCTTCACTAACACTCTATAAATTTTTTCAGGCAAAAATTCCGTTGATGTTCTACATTAGTTAAGCAAATGTAGTAAGGTTTACCTCTTTAAAGTAAGTTAATTGCTCCTTTGAAGCATGCAAGTCTTTTGGGCTAGCCACGACCGCTTGTTCAATTGCTCCTTTTTACATGCTGCTGGAGACTTCATTTAGCTCCTATTAATTTTTCAGGATTGCATCTGGTAGCTTCAGATTTTCATCATCGGGAGAATCTACCTTAGCATCAATTTAATTCTCTGCCTCTCGCTATTAAAATACAGCAATGCCTCGATTTTCCGACCACCAATTATTGAACGTATTCAAAAGTTTGTTTTCTAGTTCAAAAGAAGGTAATGAACCCAACAGAAACAGGTTTTTTGGGCACAAATTGAAAAAATATGTAATTTTTTGTTTTTTTCTTATTGAATGACTATGTTTCACACCCAAGATAAAAGAGTGGTCAAGCTTGTAATTTTTGGTTTCAAATGACAAATGGCCCGTAATGACATTTTTTCAGTGTTTTTTTGGTGGGTTCGATTATAAGACCTGTTCGACATCCAACGCGGTCCTCGCCCCAAATCGTCAGATAATCGGGGCATGATTGTAACCATTTTTCCCCCTCTCTTTTTTTCATTCAATAATTACTTTAGTTCTGATCGATCAAATACATTTTGTTTCCTTTCTGTCCTATTATAATTAGGTTGTAGTCGAAAATTATACAATGAAAATAGATGTATAAACTAATTAGCTATCGGCTTTTCATTCAAATTTATTTTTTTTGCCTCTTTATTGTTTTCCGACAGTACTAAATGGTTCCATTAGCCAGAGATTTAGCAGCTCAAAGTACTTAGTTACTCTGTAGTACTAATTCTAAGTTATCTGCAACTTACAAACAAACATAATCAGTGAAAAGGTTGTATTTGTTTAAAAAGTTTAACAATTATCCTGTTAAGAATTTCACTAATAGCATCCATGATCTTTCTTGTTTTAATAAAAATACCAATGGCAGCTTGTCAAAACCAAAATTTCAATTTTCTGAGCATTGATTAAAGATGCCTTAATTTTGGTAAGTTGGAAGATGTCCAAAAGTGCTCAACAAATGACCAGGAAGATTTGAGGGAGGTTTTTCAGGGTCACAATCTAGCGTGTTAATTCCTGGGTTATGGTATTGAGCTCTAGTGCTCCATTATCTGTACAGACAATTTTCTCTTTAACATTTTATTCTGGTGAGTATCATGTACATATCATTAGGCACGTATAGTATCTGTAATTGTCCAGGAAGAAGCATTTTGATATTGATGTCCAATTATACAATAATATAAGAATATGGCAAGGAAGTAATAAAGCATTTTACATAATAAGTTTTAGGTTGATCCTGCTCCTCATATGTATTAACATTGACGAGCACGTCATTTCGATCTATCATGTAAACATTATAAACATAAATTCCAAGTCAATCGACAGCTCAGCAGCCTGATGGTTAAAATTTTTTGTTTGTCAACCGGTTAAGACAAGATTAAAGAGAGTGCCCGCCCGGCAAAATTACGTTGTGGCAACGTTGCCAAAACGTTGCAATTTCGCCGTTTACGTATTCGAGCAACGTTGTGGTAACATTGCCACAACGTGTAATTTTGTCAGCTTGCATGAACGTAATTGGCAATGTGTCTGCAATGTGTTTTAGCAACATAATGGGAATGTTGCAAAAATACGTTTTAGCAACATAATGGGAATGTGGCAAAAATACGGTTAAAAAATTTCGGTGCTTTATTTTAGGAGTATTCTGGATTTTTACTCCTAGAATTCAATGTGGACCGCAGAGAAGTGTTTCTTAGGCACCCGAAATTTACTCTAAGTCCGATAGTAGCCGCGCTCCGCCCGGGTTCCCAAGCGGGCTCCCATCGAAGTACTAACTATGCCCGACGTTGCTGAACTTCAGTGATCGCCCGTGTGTCGCTGCCACTCAGCTACGGACGCTCGCATGAGAGAGATTGGTTATTTAGCATTAATAAACATCCCTAGATCTGGTTCAATGATAGAAAGCAATGATATTCTTGCATTTCTGTGCATAATTCTACAACGAAGGATACTGAATATAATATTAGGAAGATCAAGTTTTTAAAAAAAAGGAGTATGAAAAAAAAATTAAAAAAGAATTGAATAAATATATTCATTTCATATAAATAAAATTAGTATTATTTTAATTATTTATTTAATTATTTTATAATTATTTTTTATTATTATAGTTATTTGGTATTTTTATTTTGTATTAAATTATTTTCTAATTATTTATATTTATTTTTTTATTTTATTTTTTATTTTTAAATTATTTTTTTATTTTTTTTAATTTTATCTTCATTTGTATATTTTTATTGTATTTTTTTTTATTTTTTTAATTATCTATCAATTAATTTTTGTTTATTTTTGTATATACATATACATATTTTTGCGACATTGTATGAGGGCGCATTCCCTTATATTGATTGGAGAAAATCATCTGTTGAGAAACAACAGAAAGGAGAACACCTGAAACAGTGTAAAAGTGTACCCTCCGATTTGCAGCACAGCATCTGCCTGACCTCATATCTGAGTTCTACGACCAAAATTACACAGGGATTGATACCTCACATGACACTATATGCGCATTTTAAAAAACCGAAATCCCAGAGGCCTTATTATGGTCGCCATTTTGAAATTTAGGCATTTTGGGGGGTGTTCCGGGGTCGGACCGAGGTAAACTTTTGGTATGTTGTTCAGGAGGACCTACTGATGACGTTTACATAGGAAAAGTTTGTTCAGCAATTTGTTCCGGGTCAAATCGTGTTTCTCCCTGACTAATAATGTTTAACAACGTTGTCACAATATATCTAAGAAATATTTATTGAAACGTTTTTTAATAATGTTCCAGAAACATTTCTAAAAACGTTTTGAAAATATTGTCTAAAATATAATGTCAGGCAACATTGCTGAAACATTGCTTAAACGTTGCTGCTTTACCTTTACAAAGCAATATCATCAAAAATGTTGCCTTGCAACGTTGCGGCAACGTACACATTGCTCCCTTGCCGGGCGGGTGGAGTCAGGTGATTGGTCGGTGCTGAGAGTTTTGTGCCTTGTCATGCTGATAAAGAATGGATTAAAGTTGGATGGGATTTGAAAGGATTGATCAAGTATTGGCAACTCAAGAGGTGCCTTCAGCTTTTTGTTGATTACACCCTTTTATTTTATGGACTCGACAAGACGCACAACTCAGAGTACCAACCAATCACATAACTTCATCCTCCTTAATCTTGTCTTAACCGGTCGACAAACACCAAATTTCAGTAATCAGGCTGCTGAGCTGTTACTTTTAAGTCAATGGGTGGAAGGAAAACACATTCTGCCCCATAGTGAGGTTATACTTCATCATTTTAAAAGACAAGTTTAAGGCAGCTTCAAAATAAACACTACTTCAGGTATTGTAGGACGGTTAAACTTGGCGCAATGTTTAGCTTTTTAAAGGCATGGAGACTCCGTCTTATTTTGAGGCTCTTCTCTGATCCTGATGAAATCTTTTATCAATTCATTCAAAAATCCAAATCCTAATCACTCATGGCTTTTTCTCACACCAGATACACTTTATCGTAAAAAAATTTTGCGCAAACTGTTTCTTTTGAATTGCAACCTCGATCATATCATTGTAATAACCCTATATTTTTTGTAGATTAGGTTTATATTACCATTTGGTCTTGAAAGAACATTAGTACCATAGTTTATGCTTCACTGTTCAACAGTCTTTTATCATCTTACTTGCTTCAATTACAAGAAGTTAGTAACAGAGTCGAGTTTTGTAGTGTTACTAAGTGACTTTAGATTGAATGCAGGCACAATTTCCTCTCCTATCTCATAGTTTTTTAACTGTAAAACCAAAATCTTAGTTTTTTAGAAATTTAGAACAAAAAATTTTAGAATTTTTTTTATTCCTCTCAGTAAAACGTGCAAATCGTACAACTCAGTGCTAACTTTTAGCAGTTCAGACTGCCAACTCTTAGATTGTAGTGGAAAGGTTGTCTTCATAATTGAGTAATTCTTCTGAATAAGTATGTATTGCCGTACACATAGTTTTTCTAGAGATCAGCTCCCCTGATTCCTTGTATTCTAAGGCACCCATATACATATGTGTACTTTGTACTTGCTCAAATCGAATGCTCATTTTAAAATTAAAAGCAATTTAAAAATGTTCACCTCCGAAAATCATGTTTCTCTAGAAATACCATGTATATGGTTATATATGCTATATAAAGGAGAAAGCATCAGTTTTGTAAACTGAACGGTTTTGATGGCATATGTAACAGTGCAGTTTTGTGAACTTAAAGGGTTGAAAGGAGAGAGGGCGAAATATCCTGGAAGCCTCAACAGGTACCCTATGAAAAAGACCAATTTCAAAGATCGGACTTTTTCAGTATTTCAAAACTTCTTAAAAACTGGATGCAAAGTTATCATTCGTTGCAAGTTAAAAATATACATTTGATATAATCAGTGCAGCTTATGAAATTTGTTAACATTTTGAATGATTCTAATTCCAAAGTCTCATGCAAAACCTAACATCAGTATTAAATTTTTCATTTTTGGACACATTTTTCTAATGTATCGACCATCATCAGCAGTCCATTATTATAAAGTCGACATCAATTTCTTTTCTAGAAAACAGTACAACTGGAACTATTCTTTTTTGCTGTCTCTCTGTGCTCTAAAGCAAGCCAGCTTGCTTACTGTAATTTTTAGGAAAGTCTCACTGTTGCCTTAGTTATCAATATTCACTTTTTGCAATTCTAAACCATTCAGGAAGATCACACTGAGAATTGGACCGCGTCAATCAGAAAGGAACCAAGCCACATCAGCTATTGCCAAATTTAACAGGGGAATTTGATTTTTTACAAGAGTACGTTCGTGCAGATTTATTTGAAAATTTTAAGGAATTTGCTTTGTATTATGGAGAAAATTCATAGAAATTTGCACAAAAATCCGCACAACCCCTTTCATGTAAAAAATTAAAATGCCCGATTAAATTTGGCAATAGCTGATGTGGCTTGGTTCCTTTCCGTTTAACGCGGTCCAATTAAAGTAGGACCATAATAGCTTTCCCCAGATTCATTCCTCAGAAATTCTATCGCCAAACACATATACGCCCGCTCTGAATTTTGAAAATTCTCAAGATGAGACTCAATCAGTCCCTCTGCTAGGGAGGGAATAGTTGCTTTAGTTTGCCATGATATCTAACCCACCGCTTGTTATTATTATTATGTATTCCTGAGGTAATTCAATTAGTGTTCCCAGATGTACCTGTTGTGCAAAGATACTGATAGGCTCATGTCGCGCCATCACATGGGAGGCTGTGCGGGTGTGTGGAGCTTTTAAGGTAGGGGCCGCTTTTTCCCATATGCTTTCCATAGGGCATAGGTATCGTCAATACAGTACAGGAATTTCTGCACACCTGGGAACACTGAATTCAATCTTTATTTTTTAATTTTCTGTTTGAATCAGCCATTAGTCCTTCATTATTGTGGAATATGATCGTTCCGTTTGTTTTTCAGGTACTATCCTTACATCTGAACAATCCGTAGAGAATAAAGCGGCCTCAGAAGCGAATCGCATCACAGTCAATGGAAATGGAGGAAGCAGTTATAAGAATTGAAATGGAATCACAAGTTGATGTTTTTATATTATATTCTCCAATTTCCACACTATTTATTGATCTTCACTATTTTTAAATGAAAATCGTACCTACCAATACATCTTGAAAAAAATTAATTGTATTATCGTTTTCGATGAATTGAAACATTGTTACCAATCAGTCAAGTAATCATTTTGTTGTTGTAGTATATTTATTGATTCTTGTAATCTTAAATATCTCTAATTTTTTTGTTAACTTTTTCTAAATCAGTATAATTTGTTCTAATTTATTAGCTGTTGAGCAAAAATTTCATTTCAGAACTTTTCAAATATTTCTTTATAAGAGTGAATTTCTTGGATTTTATTTTTCCTGAATTTTTTTTTGAAATGCAAGCAAGCTTTGTGTCTAATGCAGGTCACAATGAATCAAATCAATTCATAGCTCATTCTTAGAGGTGGACCAGATATTCGAATTTGTATCCTTCTGCAATGCATGAGGCACCTTGAGTGTCTTAAGTCTAAAAATGAGATGATTTATTGTTTATCTTGTTTGTAGTCTTAGCACTCTTATCGGGGAAAGTACACCATCCTCAAAAACTAGATCCACCATCAATTCAATATGTATTGACAGCTGAATTGGTCCCTTCCTGCTGAATTCGTCCATTTGTTGATTAATTTTTTCTGTGTAAATCTTAATTTGCCATGTATTTTAAGTAGGCAAGTATGGACTATTTTTTTACTCTTGAGATCATATTGTGTAACTTTTTGTTTGTAGAAGTGCTTTTGCTTCAATTGAATCAAAATATGAACAATGACAGAATCACTATTTAGCCTCACCAATTATTTATTTATTTTTTTTTTCCATAAATATTTTTTTATATGTTCCTATACAATTATCTACGAACATTTGCATGAACTTTTTTTTAAACTCTGAACATCCTTAATTGAATTGAATCAACATGTTGCTGCTATATTAGAGTTGAGTCGGTGGTAAACAGTCCGCACCTGTGATGTGAATCTTTCTCTTCTATTTTAAGTTTTAATCATACAACTTTTTTCTTTTTCCTCTTTATAGAGACCTCAGTTGTGCTCTGGGGTCAGATTTTTGTCTAACTTGTTTTCATCTGGAGATTAGTGTCTCTCTATTTATCTACAAGAAAGGATTGGAATGAAGCTAGTCAAAAACGTTGGACAATATTAAAGGAATAACAACATAATATGTACCTCCCAAGGATTATTGAGTTTGGTGAAAGAAATTTGAGACCCGATTGATTATTTACTCCAAAATTTTCCTATTTTATTAATATTAGAATCTCTTTTTCATGGAAAAACAGGCTTGTGCCATTGAGTAGTCATTAAAAGTGTCGCAATTTTCATCAGAAAATTAATGGAGCTTTCAAGTTACTAAAATTAATTTTGGAGGGAGGTTTTTTGCTTACTCCTCTAATTTTTGTTGAAGTTTTGTTTTTCTTCATCCTCTCTTTAATGGATCTGGTATTGATGTTTCAAGTTTTGCTCTAGATCCCATGATGCTGTGGGAAGTAAAATGATAGTACAATGGGCAATGTAAAATTGTAATGTGATCCTGGTTCCTGAGTTCGTCTACTCTTTCCCTAAATTTATTGAAATAAATTTACCAAACTCCAGCTTATTTTTGTGAGGAATAGTTATTTTTATGGATGTAACTTCTTCTGGGAAACTCTTTAGTTTCACTATCTTTGTTGAAAATATTTTTTACACAAAGTTATTGACTATGAGGCATCTCTTCAATAATTGTATAAATTGTAGTTATACAAACTAGCGTCTTGCCCCTTACTTTGTTAGAGGAACTATCTGATTCATTTGAATATTCCTGATCAAATGCAAAAATATTCCTCTACTCAGAAATCCCAATTTTGATAGGAGCATCCTCTTTCTCAACTTCGCTCAGTTGTTTTTATCTCCTCCTTTGCAAGGATTTTTTTTTATGTCCTAGAAGTAACTTGTGTTCTTTCTGTCAGCTCAAGTCTTCTTTTCTCTCATATCAAACACTTGTTGAATTTAAAAAATGCATTTAATTCTGTTAAAGTACAAAAAGCCGAAAGTAATTTCCTATTACACTTGATGAAGCTACCGTGTTGCGGGGGGTTTTTATCGGTAAATTTTTGTTTTTTGATGTTCAGTGTCATTGGAAGTGCTCCAGAGCAATTTCCTCCCTTCGTTTCTCGTAGCTTGCAGGGTTTGTATCTCTATCAAAGGAAATTTATATCCTCTCGAGGCCCAAAAGTGTTTCCCACATTAAATTACTTTTCGTGCAGGTACTTGAACATATTTAGCTCTGTCCAGTCTTTTTTTCACATGAAAGTGCTCAAATGCGAAGGAATGAAAAATATATATTTGGAGGTACTTAAAATTTCTGTAAAGGAATTCTTAACCCCTGGAGAGAACTTGTGATCAAATTAATAAAGCATTTGCCTAGTCCTCATGGTCAAGTCATGCAGATGCGGAACTTGATTAACTGTGCTAAAACTTGCTGTCTACTGCTTAGCGTGTTGAAGTGGACTTGTGATGAGATAGTTGACAGTTTTTGAAAATTATTGATACTAATAATGATTAGGGTTCTTTAAAGCGTACTTGAAGAAAGAAGGAAGAAACTCTCCCTATGCTTACTGTTAATTTTTATGATGGACAAAAATATGACTTTAAAATACTTACACACATTTTTTGTTCTATTTTTTGTTCCACTTCAAGCCTGCATGAATTGTGTAACTCTTTAAACCTGCATAATTTAAATACATTTTTTGTAGGCCTCCTAAGTTGACAATCATCACTGCAGTCTACTGTTGATAGATTCATTTTCAACTGGAGCATTTCCTTTATTTGTGAAAAAACTGAAATGAAAACCTTAATTCACTGCACTGTCAATGATTGTTTCTTCCTGCCATACCCTTAGTAAAAAACCTATTGATTCTCCCAGGCAATTTTTCCCCTAACTTCATGAATGTATTTTAAAAAATATCCCGAATTAATGCTGGTGGACACTATTGTAACAATTTGAGTCATTCTTTTGGAAGAAATATTCTCTGGGTAGAGTCACCCAAGATATATTTGTTGCTTTTGATCAACATATTTGTACTATCCAAATAAAATTTTCTTCAAGATCCTGTAAAAAGTCCTTGGTGTATCATTTCAGTTAGTCTCTCCTTATGATATGCTCCATCAGAAAAAAATAGACCATCTGAAGCTGCTAACGTGGAATGTCATTTAATATCACTACTTGGATAGCGCTGAGCAATAGTGTCTTGTGCAGAAGTGTAGGACTGATGCAATATGTCAGATATAGATGCATACAAAATATTTGAAGTTTTCGATGTGAGTGAGCCTGTGGAAACGAGGATCTTTTGCGTGAGCCATGCAAGGTTCCATCAGACTCTGTAGACACATAGGTACTTTTGGTTCCTATGTAGGTATGACCCATTCGCGCAATGCCGTTCCTGCTTGAAAACAGTTAAGCAATACGGTTACATTTGCAAAAGCGTCAGGCTCAAAACGTTTTATGTGCTTAGGGCCATCCAAGAGTTCATTTCAATTTTAATGGTTTGCTGTGCATATGATTTCTTGTATATTATACCAATACCCGCTTTCATGCGACTGAATGTCACTCAAACCTTTCCACTTAACAGATAGGTTCTTTTTAACTGCAGAAATGAATACAAACTGTGATTGTTACAGCTCTGCCATCAAAATTCTTAGATGAGAAAAGTGCAAGCTCTAAACTCTTGATGATCTATGACCTTGTACAACTGATGATTTTCTCTGAATTTCCTTAACTTTCTCAGATCGCTGATCTTTTATGACAAGAGTTTTAATTGGACGTATTTCTACCAAACGGAACTATGTGCATTAAGACATAAGCCCTGCGACCCATAAGAATATATGCATAACAGGGCTCACGTCATAGTGCACATAGTTCTGTTTGACAGAAATACATCCAATTTTAGGATTGAGGAAAATCTCAAGACACTACATACAGGCGCCAATGATAGAAAGGTGTAGAAGAACATTTTTCTTCATTGTGAAGGACCCTTAGTAGCAGTTACATTTATGCGATAAAAGCTCAAATGCCTACTCAGAAAATGGCAAATAGGCTTTTTTTCTAGAAAAGTCCTCTTATTGAGCAAAGAAGTAGATAGGAACATTTCTTGAAACTGTTAGTGAATCTTATACGAATATTTTGAGCCTTTTTTTGTGATTCCTCCCAAAGTCACGTAAAAACTTTATCTCTTAAATAGAGCTTGAAAGATTAAGAAAAATGTCCCCATGTAGTTGCTGACAATCAAGTTCTCTTTCAACAGATGTACTGAGAATGAGGGTAGAAATGATTTGAACCTTGGTTGTAAAAAGTATTTTAGCATAGACTGGTGAGATAAACTCATTATTCATCTCTTCTTCATGTAATAATTGGTTTTATTGGTGTAAAGTTCAGAAAAAGTTATTACATTTAATTTTTAAAGGAAAGACAAGCAAAATAATATTGAAAACATTTCAGTAAAACAAATCACGGGTTGCAACCTTGCCTACAAAGCAAAAACCCCTGATGATGCTTTAATAATTAGACAGTGAAACTGCAGAAAATGGTAGCTCGATTTTTGGCTCCGCACTCTTCCTGTCATACTTCATTTTCTCAAGAGGAAATTCCTTGATATCATTTCTTGAAATCGTTGATAATGTTCCTTCTCTTTGTTAAAAATAATATGTGAAAATGTCAAGTCATGACCTCAGCTTTGTTTTTTTTCAAGTAATTAAATAAGAGAGGAAATTTTGAAACCTTGCAATCGAGATTTGCATTTTTACAATCCCACTGTTGAATTTTAAGACCCAAGATCTTGGAAATAAGACTACAGTTAATAGAGAATGAGTCAAGCTGTATTTCATAATTAGTTTACTTTTGAAAGATCTGAAATTATTGACTTAGCTTTTTCTTAAACTAAAAACGCAACATGCCTTGCATTTCTTATCCGTGAACATTCAGTTCTAAAATATAGCTGAAAATGCTATTTTTCACAAGCTATTTTATATTCATCAAAGGAAACAACCTTTTATCTTAACTTCAAATTTTTATTCTTAGCCAATAGGACTAGACTAATCTGAGATACCCCCTTTCTGAGTATTTTAATATTAATCATATTTCTTTGAGAGTTTCTACAATCAACCCAACAAAAATACAATAAATATTCATCCATTCATAAATATCCATCACCCGCTATGTGGCTAGGTATCAAGCCCTCTTGACCAAGCTTATTCCGTACCCAAAACCAGTTATTCATATGCCTGTTTATTAGAACAACAACATCATTTTTATTAACTGCCAAAGTGTTATGATCATCACTTTGAAAATCATCACTTATGACCAACAGAGTTTGACAGAATCCCTTATCTTTTGGATGTGAGGTAGCTTTTAAGTAAAGCCTGTCAATACTGTGCTCTCCGCAGTTTAAGACTGGCTGTCGAAAGTTGTAGTATCTACCTAAACTGTCACCACACTCGGACTTAGATCCTACTCTCAGCTTTTCATAGTCCGTTTTATTTCCAGTTGGCCGAGGAAAAATATCTGTGTGTGTCTCCCAGCATGGAGACGTCTTGGAGCTGGGTGGTGGCAGTATGCCCAACGGCAGGCACGTATTGTAGGGAATGTAGCCTTCTTCACTGTGAGGTGTTTGCACGTACAGCCAGTTCTGATTCTTGAAGACTGCATTTACAACCATGCCTAGTGGCAGTGGGATTTCATCCTGATAACCACCAAATCTTGTTTGATAAAGTACACAAGGAGAAGATAATACCACAGGTATATTCCCAGGATTACTCAGAGATGCCTGAAAAAGAGAAAGTAAGACAATTTATCCATCAAGGGCTATTCTTAAGAAATTAAACTCGAAAGAAAATATTTGTCAACTTTTTAATAAATAGGAGAATTTGAAGTTTTCGTCATGGCCCGATTTATGTACCTCTACCTCATTGCCGCCCCTAGGCTGTCTCCCTCCCCCACAAATTGTCGCACAGGCGCGGCGGAAGGAAGGGGGGGTGGGGGTCATGCCGTGCATTGCATACCCATTACATTTTTTAATGCAGATGTTCGGACTCTTCCATCACATATTTTGCGGTCTACATTTGTAATCATTTTGCAACTGATTCCTCAGGATTGAATCGCCACTTTGTCACGCCGCCCTTCCGGCGAAACGGTGATTGTTGCAGCGCGCAGCGTCCTATCTTCCTTCTCCTCGCAAATTTTTTTGTGGCCTCTCGAAATTTGCCACCCCAGGCCGCAGTCTCGACGGGCGGCCTCGGCCTGTATAAATCCGGCCTTGCTTCGGTGTAGGTGCGTGATGTGGTATCACGCAAAAATGAAGGGAAATCTTAGCTCTTGACCTGTCTCAACTTACTGACGCTTTATAAATGAAGGCTTAATAACGCTCGCATCGATTAATCCGGAATTGAAGCGTGCAACTATTCGGCGTAGGTATATGAAGTGGTATCATGCGAAAATGAAGGAAAATATCAACTCTTGACCTGTCTCTTACCGACGCACAGTGGATTGAGTCAAATAAGAGAGGTCGGACATGAAATTTCTCACTAAAACTGCAAATTTTTAAGTTTATCTCACATTTTAAATTTTGAGGGGAGCTTCTTGAAAAGAATTTCCGGAGGAAACCAATGGAACCACTTTTAGAACCTCAAATGTTTGTATAAACGGAGTTATAAGCGTTTAAAGTTTCCAAATTTTGTCCGACTTCTTCTGTTGTTTCGATCCACTGTGCGACGTTTATAAAATGCATGTAGATATTATGCTCGCTGCACGCATCGTAAAAGCGGAAATCAAGCGAACGCCGAACTATTTCGGACTCCGGTGGAAGTATGAGTTGTGGTATCCCGCGAAAATGAAGGAAAATATTAGCTTTTTACCCGTCTCAAAGACGTTTATGAATATAGGAACTACATATTATGCTCTCATCGTTGAGTGCAGAAATCAAGCGCGCAAGTATTCGACCTCTTGGAAAGGTTTGTGACGCGGTATCAGACATTTTCGTTCGTTCTATTTTAATTTAATGTAACAAAAAAAAGAAAAAGAAAAAAAAAATCCGAATTTCTGAATTGTTATCATGAGGATACATATTTTCCCTTTCATACGGTAAAAACTGGAGTAGAAGTCAAGAATGATGGCACGCATTCCTACAGTCTCGTGGACGCTAATATGCGTTTCACGACAACTGACCGACTGCACTGCGTTCGGCACAATGCGAGAAGTATTCATGCAGTTTTGTAGGCGCTAATACGTGCCGCACGTCGACCGCACTGTTTGGCGCAATGCATGAAGTATTCCTACGGTCTTGCAGGCGCTGATATACATTTAACGCCGGCCGCACTGTGTTTGACGCGATTATTCGAACTATTATTAGAATAATACCGGAGTCGAATAATAGCGCATGAAAGGCTCATGTTGTGTTTTGACGCCGCTATGAGCATTCCAACATTGCCTCGTTTCTCCCGATTAAATATTTTTTCCGAGAAATGTTAGGAAAGTTCTTCATACCCACGACCATTATTCAATCTTTCACCTCATTTATCATCTGAAGGTAAGACATCGATGACTTGTCAACAAACTAACCTAAACTAGCGTTAACATAAAAATGCGTTTATTTTCCAACTGTTTCCTGTTTTGCCTACCTCTAATGAACTTCATTTTAAATTAGAGCATTCCCGTAGCAGATGTTAAGGTTTCTATTCGCGCAATCCTTGTGCCTTTTCCGCGTGATCCTCATATATTTTCTTAGACCTTCCGCGCAATCCTGGATTACCGAAACCGCCACACTGCAGGAGCGTGTCTCATGAGTCAAAATAAGGCTTCTATCAACTACGAATTGTTATTCAAACGTACTTTTAAATCGGACTACAAATCCCCCAGAGCTGTGAGAAATACCTAAATCATTTTCCCTAAATTTCGGCATTTGTGATCCAACGAATCTCATAAAAATGGGTATGCACCCATAATATGATAAACTAATTACACGATGACGTCAGAAAAATCAAAATGTCAGTTGAAAATAGGGTTTCGGGGAAGGGAGGATATCTTGAACTTATAACCGCCGATTACTTGGCTTTTTGGCGTATAGAGTAGGGATGTCGATACTTATCCGATACTTGCAAAGTATCGATACTTAACGATACTCGGCATCGATACTCCACGATATCGATACCATGCAGTATCGATGCCAAGACCCCAGTATCGACGGTATCGATACTTAATCTGATTTGGCCATGAAGAAGGCCTCTTTTTCTTTTTTAAAAAATTCTCTCCCCACTATTTCACCTTCATGATGCACTGTGACAAACGACGGAGTAATCAAGTTTCTCAAGATGATTATACTTCAATAAAAATGGTAAAAGCTCAGTTCGATAACTGTAGTTAAGTTAAGGGCTCAAAATAGTTGACTAAGGACGCGAACAGGGCTTTTTCGAGAGAGGCGTAAATCTGGCGGAATTTAACGGCCGACAGACACATGCACACTCAGAATCACGGCATAATTCAGAAATAGTATCGATGGTATCGATACCTCATAAGTATCGATACTTCAGCTCGATGATCGATACCGGTATCGATGCTTAGAGTCGATACCAGTATCGATACCGAGTATCGATACTTCCCTGAGTATCGACATCCCTAGTATAGAGATTAAAATTCTTGAGACCTCCGAAACCCCATTTTTAAAGGAGAACTCAATAACTGACGAAGTCAACGAAACTGACTTCTGTGTGTGTGGGCATTTTGCTCGCATCGTCAAATTCGAAAATTAAGCGCGCGACTACTTTCACTCCGGGGCTCAGCCGGATTTAATTAATTTCCGCCCCAAGTTCATCTTGATTTTTCCGTCCCCACAAACTGTCGCCACGGGGGAGGGGGAGGGGGGGAGGTGCCACGTCGTTCGTAAATTCCGCACCCGCAATGAGTCATCTCACTTTTGCCTCGAAAATCGCGTAAAAAGGCCTTTTCTCAAATTCTTTTGCAACACATCAAACTAAATGAACGCTCCCAAAGTTTAGACAAATTCAAGGTGTAATCGTCACCACGCTAATAGCACTTCAGCACTTAAATATTAATAACTATATTACTTTATGTATATATTATTCTACCTCTCCTTCTCTATTGCTAATGATTAATATATTTTTTTACTTATAGATTTAATATATTTAAGTGCTGTTTTATGTCAGCACTTAAATATTAATAACTATATTACTTTATGTATACTTTATTCTACCTCTCCTTCTCTATTGCTAATGATTAATATATATATTATTCTACCTCTCCTTCTCTATTAAGCTCCTCGGCACACCTGTTTTGCCGTGCTAAGGAAGAACGCCGTATGAACATTCGAGAGTTGCCAAATTTTCTTCGATAAAATGTTTACTTTGAAGGAAAATTATGAATATTTTTCCTTGAAATTTTCAGAAGTTTTAGGTCAAATTACGAACAAAATTATCTGAGAAATTGGTAGGCAAATATTCAAAAAATTTCCTGCAAATTAGTGCTTTGCCAGGAGAAATTTGGCAACGCCTGAAGGGCCATACGGCGCTTTTCCTGAGCACGGCAGTGTTGTGCAACCAATCGTTCAGAGGTTAATGGTTTAAATTTTAGGTGACTTTGCCATCTTTTGTCCATAACTTTCACCTTCCACCTTTTACCTTCAATAAAACTTAAGTGCTACAGTGTTGATGGCCTTCCTTTGTTTATCAGGAAAACGAGCTTTCCAACACGACAAGGCAATTTCCATTCCTCCAGTTTCCATGAAAAGTCGATACGTACTTTCTATTTCTATTTCTTCTTACCTTGGCAAGGAAAGCATCGATGTCGATGATCTGATACCCAAATCGAACTTTCTCAGAATGATGAGAACTGGAGCTTTTAGAATTTCTCGAATGGAGATGACGCCTCTGGCCGTGTCTCTGCCTCCTCTCGCGTCTTCTTGGGGTCCCCGAGTCGGTCAGTTCTGAGTTGGTCCAGTCCGGGAACTTCCTGATGTTCGACCTCTCTATATTTCTGCAACATTTACCCTCAATTATTAACAAACTTTTGCCTTGGCAATACACGTATTCTGCAGGACATCGCAGAGTCGTGTAGGGTCAAATCCCGTATCATCAGAAAGAAATGAAAAAGAGAAAATAACAAATAGTAAAATGTCTCCAGAAAAATGTCGGAAATCTAGAAAATTACACGAGTAAACAAAGAGTACACGAGTATACAACCCTTGGCAATATACGTATTCAGGACATTGCAGAGTCGTATAGGGTCAAATCCCGTATCATCAGAAAGAAATGAAAAAGAGAAAATAACAAACAGTAAAATGTCTCCAGAAAAATGTCGGAAATCTAGAAAATTACACGAGTAAACAAAGAGTAATGAGAGGATAAGAGTATATGAAGTAATATTAAAAAAAGAGAAAAAAGGGAAGATATGTTATACATTCGTTCCCAGTGCCGGATTTGGGGGAATGATGGGGGGGGGGGGCGATCGCCCCAGGACTAACACCACAAGATACTACAAGATATTTTTTTTATTATGCCCTCATAAAAAATCACTTTACTTCACACGAAATTTTTCATAGAAATCTCCATCGTGGTGTCCTCCAGCAAATGTATCTAAAATTTAGTCAATTTTCAAACAATTCCGGGGGAGATCTTCGTCCTCCGTGCAGGGGGTTATTCGGTACTCCATACCCCCCAAACCTCCCCCTTCCTCCCCCCCTCCCCGGTGGGTGGGGACGTCCACGAGGTGGTAAAACTCCTGGCAACCAGCGTCGCCCATTTTCTTACCCTTGCGTTAAAGTCTCCGAGAATACTTATTTATCTCTCCATGAAAACCCGGGTCTAACGTGTCTCGTCAAAATTGGACACCTACGAGGTCACGAGATGATGCCTCCCATCTGGCCGCGTCGACTCAGAATCGGCTATCATTCGATATCATACAGCTACGCCCATTTTTTTTGGGGGGGGGAGGGGAGTGCCCCCAACCATGGGCTCGCCCCGGGGCCCCTATCACCTTAAATCCGGCGCTTGAGAGACTATTAACTTAAGAAGAAATAAGAAATAACCAAAAAAAAGTAAAAAAAGGCAGGTGAGGCCGGGGCACAATTTTCATCGTTCGAGTACCCCTCCATATTGCCGAGCAAAGGAAGAACGCCGCATGAATCTTCAGGCGTTGCCAAATCCCCCTTGATAAAACACGAATTTCTTTGTCGACTTATAAATATTTTTCCTCCAATTTTTCATATAATTTTGCTCGCCATTCCACCGAGATGTCCTGAAAATTTCAAGGGAAAATACTCAAAGTTTACTAGGAAATGAACATTTTATTGAAGGAAATTTGGCAACTCTTGAATGTTCATACGCACGGTTCGTTTCAGAGGGAGGTAAATAAAATAGTGTTGCCCACTCAAAATTCCTTCGGAATCTTGAAGTAGGATGCATACACAGTCATTTAAGCCTAAAATGAAAATATTCTGTCGAGCTCTTCGAAAATAAAATCGATTTTTGTGTTTTTGGCGCTAAAATGGCCTTCAAAAACGATCAATGATTCAATTCCGATGGGTTGTGCATATGCATAATGGTACATGTATGATGAAATCTACGTATTTCTGGACCAGGAATCGATTGAGCAGGGTCCCGAATCGGTTCGAAGCTTCATTGACCGAAAAATGGGCCTTTTTTTGGATTTTAGGGATATTTTGGGCCCATTTTTTCCCAATTTTGGCGTGAGAAAACCTGTGCCGTCATAGGTATTGATTATTAGGTACTTTCTGGCTATAAATCGAATGCGCTTGGTCCCGAGTCACTCCGGGGCTTCCTAATCCAAAAATACGCTGTAGGCCCAGGTGGAGCTCCGGAAGAGCTTTGAAAATATTTTTTGTCTTTGATGTTCAAACTGGATGCTGAAATTGGCCTTTCTTTGACTTTAAAATGAGACTCCTGAATAAGTAACAAGAAACTTTTCTATAATTTGATGACCTTTGGCCTCCTTCAGCCAGTCCACTGTGTAAGCTCCTGCATGAAAGCACGATGCATATCTCAGATCTGATCATGCGCTGTGAAGAATGATATCAGTGCGCACGCATGCTGATCTGCACTGATTGACGGGTTCACACACATACACATCAATTTCTCTTTTTCAAAGACCTTCTGACGAGAAATCGTATGCGCTTTATGAAGAGACGGTATAAATTTGGACTCGAAAAATGAACTCCTCTTGTGGATTTATAATATTTATATGCAGAATAACTATTTTCCCTCCTTTTTCGGTCAAACAAATAATCTTAACCCAACCAAACCGAGAAAAATTTTTCGGCCTAAGAAGCCCCGGAGTGACTCGGGACCAAGCGCATTCGATTTCTCGCCCGAAATTACCTAAAAATCAATACCCATGACGGCACAGGTTTTCTCACGCCAAAATTGGGAAAAAATGGGCCCAAAACATCCCTAAAAACCCAAAAAAGGCCCATTTTTCGGTCAATGAAGCTTCAAACCGATTCGGGACCCTGCTCAATCGATTCCTGGTCCAGAAATACGTAGATTTCATCATACATGTACCATTTTGCATATGCACAACCCATCGGAATTGAATCATTGATCGTTTTTGAAGGCCATTTTAGCGCCAAAAACACAAAAATCGATTTTATTTTCGAAGAGCTCGATAGAATATTTTCATTTTAGGCTTAAATGACTGTGTATGCATCCTACTTCAAGATCCCGAAGGAATTTTGAGTGGGCAACACTATTTTATTTACCTCCCTCTGAAACGAACCGTGTACGGCGTTCTTCCTTAGCACGGCAGAGTAGGCCGATGGAAGTTGTTTTAGAGGAAAATAGCTAGTTTGTGGGAGCATTTTAAATGGTGTGCCCATCCGTCTTACCCAACTTTATAAAAATCCGGGTCACACTGGTCACAGTGATTCCTTTGAGATTTCATTGCTAATCAATAGATCTCCATCCTTAAAACACTGAAAAAAAAAGAATCTTAAATTTGCCGCCAAGAAGTATTTCCTCTTAAATCAAGAATTTTGCTGGTTAATATAAGCTACTTTTTTGCTGAACCCAAGCATTATTTTTCTTAAATCAAGAAAAACTCAGCTTAAAGCAAGATAAAAAAAATTCTTGGCGGCAAATTCAAGAATTATCATGCTTGATCCAAGCTACTTTTTTTTTCAGTGAAGGATGAGGGATCAGACTCTTTATATTTTCGGGGAGAAACTATAACTTTAGCCCCCAGAGCAAGGTTAGTAGGTGGGAGTGATAGGGTAGGGTTCTTTGGGGGAGAAATACTGAATCGCCATTTCGCTGAGAATGTTTGCTTTTGAAACCTCAAGAGCTCTTTTACCGGGCAGCCGGAAATTTTAGAAGCAAGTGGAATGATAATCACAAGATGGAATACTCATAGAGGACTAACACGACACATAAACAAGAGTTTCTCGATATTAATGTCAGTGCGCTAGCGTCGTTAACTGCGCTCCAATCTCCCCTATGTGTCAGGCTAAATATTCACATATCCAAAATCCAAAACTCTTTAAGACGTCACAGGTTATGCCTGTTAAAATACAAATAATATGATTGTATCTTATCAGCTGAAAATTTGCTTGTTACTCGGATCATCCGCCCTCCTTATAGTGTTTTAAAGAGCCGTATGCAAAAACGACATTTTTCGCCCCCCCAATAAAACTTATTCAAACTTCGTCTATCAGTTACTAATACTGGAGCGCTTCTTTCCCCAAATTTTCAGACCCCCANATGCTATTGTCCGAGTAGCTCAATCCAAAAGAATCCAGGCACCTGTGGCTCTCCGTATTAATCCTGATGTTGACCCTAAAACGCATCGGTATATTTCGACAGGTCATAAGGAGTCAAAGTTTGGCATGGATATTCAACGATCCTTATTGCTTGCGGAAAAATTCAAAGGCTCAGAATCTATAAAGATGATTGGCATTCATATGCATATAGGGTCGCAGATTACAACAACAGCCCCTTACAGCAGTGCAGCAGCTAAATCTGTTGATATTATTACTCGTCTGCGGGAAATGGGCCACCCAATTGACTGGTTTAACATGGGTGGCGGCTTTGGAATCAGTTATGATGGGAAGACGAGTCCATCAATTTCAGAATTTGCTGCTGCTGTTGTACCCAGCATAAGGAAAACGGGGTGCCGTCTAGTGATGGAACCTGGTCGGGTGATTGTTGGTAATGCCGGCATTCTTATCAGTCGAGTAATTTACACCAAGGTATCGGGGGAAAAACGGTTTCTGATCCAGGACGCTGCCATGAATGATCTAATCCGTCCATCTTTGTACGAGTCGTTTCATGGGATTTGGCCAGTCAAAGTCCCTGCTGGCTTTCCTTCCCCACCGGATGATTTTGAAACATCGCGTATTAATGGAACAAAGTTATGCGACGTGGTTGGCCCAGTGTGTGAAAGCGGTGACTTCTTGGCTCAAGATCGAGCTTTGCCACCCTTAAATCGGGGTGAGCTCCTAGCCATTTTTTCCGCCGGGGCATATGGAATGACGATGGCTTCCAAATACAATTCTTGCCCTTGCCCTGTTGAGCTGTTGATCAATGGATCAGGCGTTGTTGTGCAGGCCCTCCACATCCCATCCCGGGCCCTGGTACCAGTTTTCAGGCCCGGGTCCCCAGCACAGAGGGGGGTCCGGGGGGCCTCCCCCTGGAAATTTTTGAAATTTTAAATCTATTTGGACGCATGTTGAAGCTCTTATGATGGAGATTTTCCATCAATTTCTGCAGAATAATTACGCCTTTTTTTTACTTTCAGCACCAAATACTTTCGAATCGTTGCATTCAAAACATCTAGAAATTTTTTTTTGGGAGGAGGCAGATGATACTTTGCAATTCTAAGGGGAGCCGAGCTCCCCTGGACCCCCCTTTCGTACGTCTATGGCAAGGGAGTTGAGCCATTGAAGTCGAGGATGCCCAGACAGGAGCCTCTTAGCATCCGACAACGAAAGAAAATGAAACGCAGTTACTAAAAATATCATTCTACATATACTCAAAATCTTGAAAATAGATAGAAATCTCTAAAAAAGTAAGACAAATTTTATAGTACCCTAGCGTGTTTTTGAAATTTTATTCACCTTTTGCGGAATTTTAAGGGTAATTTTTTCACTTTTCCTTACGAGACAAGGGTTACACATGAATTCGTAGTGGTTTGTCACCTGCATCACGGGCCCTTCCAAGGCCCGGGCCCCGGTACCAAGGACCCAGTATCCCCCCCCCCCCCCCCCC